ACTTTTCCTCATTTCCACTTTTGTCGATAGGAAATGAGCCATATTCTTCTGATAAGGACCTATCAGAACCTGTCAGGAGTTGTTCCATTTGTTGCCATAGTGGAATTCCCTCTGAACGATTATTTTCCAAAGTAGGACAGATTATTTGGAAAACTAGCAATCGCTTAGAGGATAAATTGGATTTAAAACTTTTTTTTTTAATTTTATTCCGAAGAAGATGTAGTAGTGTTTCATTATAAAATTTGGACACAATGATTCTAATAAATAAAGGATATGGTTGATTTTAGTTACATGATAAACCTTTACCTTTTTTTGTGCAAGGGTGAGGATTTGGCTTGGGTGGATTATGAATGTTTTACAAAGTATCGAAGAAAAACAAGGAGGTATTTTGAATAAAATTTACAGGCACAAAATACTTTAACACCAGACGTCTTTTATTTAAAAGGGGCCGAGAGATCTATATGCAACTATAAATGAAACCAAGGAGAAAAATAATTCCTAACAAATGTTATTAAAAAAATAAATATAATTTTTATTAACCAAGATTCTAATAGAGGTTCAGAAATGGCGAAGATTGAAAAATTAGCTTGTTTCTAAAGTGGCAAATAAAACTAATTCATTAGTTTTCGTGGACCGCTTGACCAATTAATATCTTTCAATTAATTATGGTTTTTAGTTGAGATAAAAAGTGCAGTGTCACGAACGGGATTCGAACCCACGATCTTCTGCTAGATACGCCGCTGCTCTACCACTTGAGCTATCGTGACCTCGATCCACTTGGACACTAACTTCCCATCTCAACCCAACATTTAGTAGGTTAATCGAGAATCAAATAAATTACACGACATTTGAAAAATGGCAAAAAGGTGGGGTTGAGATGGGAAGTTAGTGTCCGAGTGGATCGAGGTCACGATACCTCAAGTGGTAGGGCAGTGTCGTATTTAGCCGAACATCGTGGGTTCGAATCCCGCTCGTGACACTGACTTTTTTATCTCAGCTAAAAACCTTAATTAATTGAACTAAAAATAATGCTTGCGTATGAAAATAATTTGCGGTTTGAGTAATAAGTTCTCAAAAAATCCATCGATATGTAGACTATAGAGTCGATGGTCATACCACCATCGATGGTAAGGTTTTGATGTTTAAGCGATGGTGACCATCGATTTTTTTTATCGATGTTCTTCTCTAATTCCAGTGTCATATCCGATCTTTGAGCCATCTATTCCTAGAAAAGAGCTACAGGTTTTTTTAATCTTTTCATTTTGCTCCCTTTTGAACAATTATAGGGAATAGCTTTTCAAAGTCTTGGAGTGAGAAATAATTTTATCAATATCAGTTATTTTAACTTTATCAAAAATTTTAGTATGGGCAGTCTTTGTTTGAGAGTTTTGTAAAGGAAGAGTTTCTAAAGGAGAGGTAGGTCATTTTTCTCAATAAGTATCTCAGATGGAGACTGAATATTTGAAAGCTTATCACGGATACAGAAATTTTAACACAATTCGGACTACATCCTTGTTCCCTCAGTAATGTGAATCTACTCTGGTCGATATTCACTTCGGCGTTTCCTCATAAAAAATAATTTATTTTAATGTTTTAGATGAAACAAAATAGTTCAATATTATTCTCGACAATTCATCGATATGAAATAGCTTTATATCTGATCTGAACTGAAACCTTTTCCCCCTGCTCGTGGCCGATCCTTTGTCAAAACTTCTCCAAACTTTATGGACTTTGGAGACAGACGTAAGCCGGGTTCTAATTTGATCCGAGACTTGTTCGGTCGGCTTGCCATGATTCGGTAGTGATTTGATTTTTCCGTTTCAAAAAAATACATTTTCTCTCTTTTTTTAAAGTTATTTTTTCAACTATATACAAGCTAAACGGTTGAATTTAGTTTTTGTATCTTGAACAGCGTGAACTACCGTCTCCCAGTGGTAAATATTTTCGTCGCTATTTCAGTTTCGATCGTCTGATAGGGTTCTCAAGAAGTGTGAGATAGATTCTTTATTAATGGATTAGAGTCAGAAGATAATTTGGAAGGTCTATCGTTGAGGGGATGGTGTTAATGGTATGGTTCCTTACATAGAAAAGAATATTTAATAATTTCATTAGGTTTCGTGGTCCGCATGACCAAATAAATTCTTTTCAATTAATGAAGGTTTTGGTTGAGATAAAAAAGTCAGTGTCACGAGCGGGATCCGAACCCCCGACCTTCGGTTAAATACACCGCTGCTCTACCACTTGAGCTATCGTGACCTCAAACTCAAGTAGTAGAGCAGCGGTGTATTTAGCCGAAGGTCGTGGGTTCGAATCCCGCTCGTGACACTGACTTTTTTATCTCAACCAAAACCTTAATTAATTGAAAAATATTTAATAATACTGGAGGAAATTTTGAATATAAGGACTCAATACTACACTGAGAGGCAAAAAGATAATGGCCATTGATTAGATAAAAAAGCATTAGATAAAATCTCCCTCTTATATTTACAATTGAATTGTGTAAATAATCTTTGAATAGTCAATCTGCTCCTTTCAGTAAAGCTTCTTTCTAACGTTCGGTGGTTTAAGTTGAACCATTTTTAAGTTTAAAATTGTTTGGAAGATTTATTTAGAAATCGTGAGTTGCGGTCTGGTGTGATGTCGGTTTCAGAAAAACATTTTCTTTATCGTGCTACGTTTCGATCTTTATTGAGATCATCTTCAGGGCCTGGGATACCAAACATTGTTTACATATTACAATTACATTTTGGATGTGGAAAAGTGAATTTATACAATGCACAATATATTTAATATATTCCATCAAAGTATTTCTACTCACGCAAAGTGTTTGTCTTCTGTGTAATTGGGCCATTCTTGCGTGTCGTGTCGAGAGTGCCAGTGAGATTTTGCTATTTTGTGTTTATATACGTTGGATTTTGAAGGGGTGGGGAAGGATGTCGGTATAGAAAAGACATTTTTGTATAAGGCGTCCCCTTCTTTGAGGTGAAAGAAACCGACGAATTAAACACATTTCTCTTGTCCGATAACTTCAAAATAGCTTTCAAAAATTATAAAACAATTCAAACACTTTTTTCCAAAATTAAAGATCCCACACTAATAAGAAATAAATCTGACGTAATCTACAAGATCAACTGTTTAAACTGTCCAGCAACTTACATCGGTCTTACATCCCAATATGAGGACAAGAGAGTAAAGCAACATATCTATGATTGCAAAAATCCCAAGCAAAATCCTACAGCACTCGCCACCCACCATTTTTAACACCAACACAATTTCGACTTCAAAAATCCAAATTATTACATACAGAACAAAACAAATATAAACGTAATTTCTTAGAAATGGTTTAGATCAACCGAGATAAACACAGCATCAATTACAGAACAGATACATGTAAATTAAGTCGCAGTTACGCCAATATCATTAATCAAATTCAATACAGATAACATACATATATCATCACATTACATTCCACACATCAAATATTTTTCACATAGTCTAATTTCCCAACAATTTAGCTTTCCTTTTCCTATTTTACCCCTTTCTATATAATCCTGAAAGGATAATCTGGCCGAACCATTACCAACACATTTTTTCCCTTCGTCGGCTCTTTTCACCTCAAAGAAGCCGACGTCTTACACAAAAATGTCTTTTCTATACCGACGTAATATGTAAACAATGTTTGTAATCCCTGGCCCTGAAGATGATCTCAATAAAGATCGAAACGTTGGCACGATAAAGAAAATGTTTTTTTCTGAAACCTACATCACACCATACCGCAAATCACGATTTCTAAATAAATATCGATTAACGGTCACTAATCACCACACGTTTGGAAGATAGTTGGATGATGGTCGAAGTCGAGCGTATTTGGCCAGGGAGCTTAATATTCCCCGAACAAATGTCCGAAGATCTTCCATCGCTACCAAGATACTGGAGGTTACTCAAGAAGGCATTCGAATCTACTCCTTAATTGACATTATACCGCTGTTGAGATCAATCGAAGTCTTCAACAAGTTAGAAATGTTAATGTCAATTATGCACTGTAAGGCGAAGACTTTCAGAAGTTGGATTACGTGCGAGGAGGCCTGCCATTGGTCCAGAACTTGTAACAAGGCCCAAACAGCTCGGTTGAGTTTCGTAAGGCATCAATTAGTCCGTGCAAGATTGGACTAAAATCTTGTTTTTGGATGAGCCAAGGTTTTGTTTGAGGTCTTCTGGCGGCCGAGAGAGGGTTTGGAGAACTGGAAAACGATATATCCCTGCAACATTTTCACTCCGGAGAAGCTATGGAAGTGGCGGTGTTATGGTTTGGGCAGGCATTTCTATGGACAGTCGCACAAACTTGACCTTCGTCGAGGGTTCCCTAAGACCTGCGCGATTCATTGATGTGTTATCAGAAGATGTTCCTTATATGCTACTGATTGGCCTCGGTTTTATTTTTATACAAGGCCAGAAGGCCCAACACAGCTAGGATCATTAAAACGGCTATCGTATTGCGGTGAAAGGTAACGTCAGGAGTGTAGAGAGTATAAAGGAGTGGTACCAGTATATGCAATGATAATGTTATAATACTGGTTATAGGTTTTTAGTTGAGGATGAGACAAGGTTTAGCTAAGTTGGACTCATTCGAATTTCCTATTTTAATTACTATATAACTCAACCACAACAAAATGAAAACCAGGGAAAAACGGCGCATCATCGGTCAAGGGTCGCACAAAAAAGCTGTCTGGTTTTCCTATTGCCTTGGCTTTCTGACAGGTCAATACTCCCAACTACCCTTTTTTCTTCCACAATTAACAATGTTGTAATAGTTGATACACTATATCCATTATAGAGTATACTAATTCATAGGGTGAAGGGGAGGTCAGCAAGAAGCAGGTAGACAAGACCTAGACGCGTTTAAATCGAATAGAGGTGATGGTTAATTTCGATCTTTGTCGTCTAGCTTTCAGCGTTCGCAGGTTGAAAAGGACACGGAACTGACGTCAGATTTGTTTTAGTTTCAGCGTAGGCAAGGGGATAGCCGGCCAGGTGGCGAGGACAGGAGAGGTCCTCAACATCGCGGACGCCTATTCGGACCCCAGGTTTAACCGGACGGTGGACCAACTGACCGGCTACCACACCAAGACAATCCTCTGCATGCCGATTTTCATAAGAGGGGTCGTCATCGGCGTCATGCAGATGGTCAACAAGCACACTGGACCGTTTAACAAGGTAAACGAAAAATCGTCCTTTAAGGTTTCTTTCTAAGGGTCGCTGATTTTAATGAAACTTCTATTTTTATGAGATTAAGAGCAAGTGTATTCAAGGTTTACGTCAATTGACTAATTACTTCTTTCAATTAATGAGTTATTCTTTCTAAGGTTTTGGTTGAGATAAAAAAAAGTCAGTGTCACGAGCGGGATTCGAACCCACGACCTTCGTCTAAATACACCGCTTCTCTACCGCTTGAGCTATCGTGACTTCGATCCTCTCGGACATCAACTCTCCATCTCAACCTACAACCATTCGAATTTTCCCTCCTTTTGGCTTTTTCAAATGTGTAATCGGATTGGATTCTCAACGACTTATGAAGTGGCCACCGGGAGTCGTTTCGTGAAGTGATACTTCTTTTACTATTGAAATATTAATCCATTTACGTTTCCATAGTCAATTGTCTGTTACTTTTTTTTATCTTTTTTTTTATCACCACACATGTCTAAGTTACTTCTTTCAATCAATTAGTTGTTCTTTCTAAGGTCTTGGTTGAGATAAAAAAGTCAGGGTTATTATATATATCAATAGATTTATTTTTTTAAGCAGGATGAGAAAATAATGGGGGATCTTATTAAATAAGTTCAGGCAAAAAGATAATGCCCTAATCTTCCAACAATATTTAGTCCGTTTTAAAGCATTAGTTAAATCTCCCACTTATATTTACAATTGAATTTTGTTTGCCCTTATAAAAAAATAAAAATATACGATAGACACGATGGCTTTTTTAAATATTTCCTAGCTTCAGTCGTTGATCATTAAATTCAAAATTTTAAGAACGTGTCAATTTTTTCACTTTTTACCAAAAATTCAAATTGCGCTGTGGAGCCAGGAAGTCGTCTTGGAGCGACTCCCTGTAGCAGATGGGAAATTTTAATAAGCTTTCAATTGGTCGCATTCCACTTTGCCCGAGTTCTCAACCGTTTTCGATTTATTCGCTATTTTGGGCAAAAAACCTGGTTTACTACGTGCTCATGGAAAACTATTCACTCTCTCTTCCGATTTCAAGAATGCATAAATTTTGATGCTCTACAACTTTTGTTCCGAGGACTTTTTCAAAAAAAGTGACCAGGCAATTTTCATTTTTTCTTACTTTGACCTTTTGGGATGTGGAATGCATGTCGATAACCACTTCTTTACTTCATCACGGGAGTTCAACTTTTCCTTCCCATTTCACATGTGTTGTGTGGCAGTTTGGTTTCGAATAGCGTATTGAAACAATATGTATATGCATAACCGGGAGAGTGATCGGTTTTTTTCTTGAGCACGTAAAAAAACCACGTGTTTTGCCTAAAAATCGCGAATAAGTCGAAAACTTGAGAAATCGGGCCAAGTGGAAAGTGACCAATTAAAAGCTTACTAAAATTTCTTATCGATCGCTACAGGGCGTCGCTCCAGGACGATTTCCGAGCTCCACAGCTCAATTTGAAGTTTTCGTAAAAAGTGCAAAAATTAACATGTTCCAGAATTTTCCAATTCACTGATGAATGACTGAAATATTTAAAAAAAGCCATCGTGTCCATCGTAATTTTTTTTAAATATGAGTAGTGCAGTTGTGAGATGTCCTCCTGCAATAAACCTTTAGGGATATAAACAGGGTGAGGCCAGGCTCAAATGCAGTTTTAAAAAATAACTTATAAGACGGCTATACTAATCGCACGACCAATGTTAAAATGTTGATCCCTCTCGACAAATTATAAGTTTCTTGATTTTCTTGTTTACTCTCGATCCGTGTCATTATTTTTAACGGCTGTGATGCTTAAAGCCCCAATCCATTTGACGGATTAAAATCTACGCTCCTTGTGAAGGAGATCAACACTATTATGCTTTATGGGGTGATTTGCCAACTGTGGAATTATTGTGAGCTGTTCTGTCATTACTGATCAACCGCGAGTTGTTTTTCCTCCTAAGTTTCGATTGGGCGCAGTCTTCAAACCGATCCAATTTTAATTCAACGTGCAATTATACATGAACTGTCCAAGAAGTTATAAAAACTTCGATAAAAACATTAACATGCACCAACCAGACACGTACATCTGCAATTTAGTCGTTACTGATCATTTTGGTCTGCCTCTCCTCGCGATGGTCTACCAGACGCGTTTCGACATTTTGCCATTCTCCAAATTATAGATATGTTTATGTATTTTTGTTAGTGCTGTGGATTTTGGTCGTTGTTCATGTTGGTTCATTTGTATATCAAAAAATGTGACAAATATGATTAATCATAACCAAATTAGTTATCCACTTGTTAGCCTTATAGTACTGAGGAAAAATAATCCATTGGATTTTGTGTTGTTCTTTTTTCAGACATAATTTGTCTTTCTTTTAACTTAACGAAATTTTCCCATGTTAAAAAATAAACGAAGCATAACGATTTTCAGGAGGATGAAGAAGCGTTCGAGACTTTTGCTGTTTACTGTGGCCTTGCCCTGCACCACGCCAAGTTATATGACAAAATCCGTAGATCCGAACAAAAGTACCGGGTCGCTTTGGAAGTTCTCGGCTATCACAACACCTGCACCGAAACTGAGGTCGAGAAGACCAAACTTGCTTTGAACCAAATCAAACTGATCGGACTTGACGAGTAGGTATATAGAAAAAATTGTCATTTTATCCATTAATCTTTTTTTCCGTTTAAGCTTTCATTTCAATGTTTTTACATTGGACGATGATGCGAAGGCACGCCATGCAGTTCTCATGTTCAAAGACCTTTTCGGCTTGGCGAGATTCGACAGGGATTCTCTGATTAGGTTCACCCTCACTGTGAAGAAAAACTACAGAAGAGTACCTTACCACAACTGGTCGCACGGATTTTCCGTGGCCAACTCGATGTATGCCATTATAAAGCACTCCAACGGGACATTCACATCAAACGAGGTGAGCACTTTAACGGATCCAAGTTGTTCAAAAAGTTTAATATTTTTGTATCAGTGTTTAGCCTTGTATATCGGAGCGCTGTGCCACGACTTAGACCACAGGGGAAAGAACAACAAATTCATGCTGGAGACGGAATCTCCTTTAGCCGCTGTCTACAGCACCTCGACTATGGAGCATCATCACTTCAACCAGACTGTCACCATATTGCAGCAGGTCGGTAAACAATGGATTCTTAAAAATAAAAATGCGTCCGCTGTTGAAAATGCTTGGGACATTCCTTATGACATGGACGTCCACTTATAGCGGTTCCTACTTCACTAGATTTCACAGCCTGGTGAACAACTAACCAAAAAATCCATTGGTCGTAATGCCATTACAAAACATGAAAAACCAAAATAGTGATTTTTAAAAAAAGTCTTTCACAATATTGGCCTATCTGGCTTCTATCTTTAAAGACCAAAGTGTTTGAAAGACATACATTGCCCCAGTTAAAATGCGAGCTTAACCGATTGCTGCCAGAAAAGCAATCTGGGTTCCGAAACCTCCATTTATGCCCAAAACAACTCTGAAGAAAATACTGGGCATCTTCAAAGAAAAAAGTATATACTGGGCTAATTCTATGCACGGAAAAGTCGTTTGATAAGACCTGCTGGAAAACTTAAACTGAGACAGATGGTACAGGGTAATTAAATCATCCCTTACCGACAAATCGTTTCAGTGTTAATAAATGGCATAACTTCCCCAACTCAGTCCATCAAATCCGGCGTGCAATGAGGAAGCAAGTCCTTCGTGAATGGCTTCACGCACGACTAGCGGCACTTCAAGAAGCACTTTGGGAAAAGTCACACATTAAGCTTCAGCGCAAAATGGACGACTGGACTGCATTATGTCATGTCAAAATAAACTATAAGTTGTCTTCTTTACGTAGGAAAATAGCAGACTTCTTCCTATGAAGAAAAGAATTGAGGTCAAGGAGTCAGTTACGTATTTGGGTATCAAGCTGGATAAAAGTTGTCACACAAAGCGCAGAATAAAAAGCTTTAAGCCAATAATTGCCCACCAAACCATCACCTTTGACACTAAACATTTACTACACTTCTTCTTAAACAGGTATATCTGGCTGTACCCAATATGGTCATTAATTTTATGCTCACAGGTGAAAAATGTACAGATGTTCCAGAATAGAGTGATTAGAATTTGATACTGACAGTGCGTGCAGTACAATACTGACCTAAACCTCAAGACTGTTAACAACTTTCTTTCCCTGTGGACCTGGTGGCCACGACAAAGCCATCCATATTTGGAGAGTCCAACGGTCTTGGAATAGTGCTGTGATTCTTACCCCATAGAGTAGTTGCTTAGGGACGCTCGGACTCCACCACAAAGTGACCAGCCTGTCCCGAACGCTAGTGACAGCCTTGGCTTACACGTCAGATCCTCTACACCCTTAGAAGGGCACGAAGAACTTTTTTTAGACAAAATCTAGCGATTCTCTTGAAAGACCACTTCCCCCAGCGATTAATCTTCTGAGCCCGCACCTGAACAAACAAATGGTCCGCCTGCACTATGAGGCACTGCTCCTGGTTCGCTCTGGTGCCCATCTGCTACCCCACTCCGAGTCGGGCGTTCAGGGCGATAGTATTGCAGGATAGGGACTCATATTCGTAAATACACACCCTGGCCTTCTGCACACCAAATGAGTTCTAGATCTCTATCAACCCGAAACCATCATGAGAGCTATTTGTTGGCGTGAGCAATGACCTAGTCTCCCAAACTGTCTAGCACTTGTATTACTAAAGGTAACGTTACTAAGACGGAATTTTTACATTTACGTGGTGTTCCTTCACGATCACAAGGGTACTCAAAGAATTCTCTCCAAGAATCTGGCATAGATCTCGTGGCAATCGCCCCCTGGCGGCTACTACAAAGCCATCCACATTTGGAGAGTCTAGCGGTCTTAGAACGGGTAGAATAGTGCTGTGATTCTCACCCCGTAGAGTAGTTGCTTATGGACCTTCAGACTCCACCACAAACTGGCGAGGCCATCCCGAACCCTAGCTACTGGCAGCACGTGTGACCTTGGCTTACGCCAGTACACCACAGATCCTCTACTGTTTCCCGGTAGATACCATTCACCCTGCGGACGACAGTAAGCAGCCTTGGTGACCTCGATGGCAGGGGGTATATGATACGACCTGATACTTAAGACTAGTGACATTGCTCGAAGCGTGAATCTACTCTCGTGCCTCAATGGTGCAGCATCTCGACAGTAGATAAACACATGATAGTAAAACTTTATTGTGTGTGTTTCAATGATAGCAGTAGGGAGGGGCTATAAGAACCCTGCTTATATATAGAAATGTTGTAAGCTCATTGCCGGCATTACTGAAGCAGTGGCGATGCCTAGTGTAAACTTTAGTTAACCAAAGGCACTTAGCACAATACCACTCAATATCTTCGTGATCCCCTTAATTTCTTCACAGTTCGTCTAGATGGATGTAAGAGGGAGGAAGTCTCCTTCTGCAGGCTAGAGCCACAACTACTTTTCACAAAAATCAACCCCCTCAAAGAAAATATGCCTGGAATTACTGTTCGCCTCTTTAGGATGCACCCCACATCCCAGGTCGATCCTATTTAAAGTGAGGTAGACCCTTGTCCATATTTTTATGTTCAGATAATGGAAGTGGCTCATCATTTCTGGCTTCAAAATCCTCCAAAAGGATGACAAGTGGTTTTAAGAATCGCAAGCTTACCCCTGTGGGTTGTGCTAACCCACAGGGTTAAGGTGCATTGTCAGAAAGGTACCAATAACTGCCTTGGAAGGCAGGTGGTCGCATAACAACTGGAGAGGTTATGGGGTCATTCTATTTCACACTTCCTCCCTCTGATTGTATTGCATCATTAAAGAGACGATGTGAGCAATTATCATCGTATTCCTCACATCATAGGGCTACTATACTGTTCTCTCTGCCATATTTCTGGGGAGGTTAACAGAGAGGTTAACGTCCAGATGGATGAACTATTGCTGTGAACTGTCAGAAAGTTTCAAACCAGGGTATGTTCAGGCTTGTAGTTCATAATAATTCTCTCCTATGAGCCATTACTACAGCCTTCCATCAATGAGAGGTCTATACGTTTTATGATAATTATTAATATACAAAAATGAAATACAAATTTACGAATAGATGAAATTGTATTTAGTTACCTATTATGGATCTTATGCAGCACAGAATAAAAATATAAATAAGTAAAATTTTATTTTATGAGTTGTTAATAGTTATGATGATTAAATTTCCCAAAATCAACTACTTAACTGTAGATTGAAGAGGGTTGCTATTAAAATAGTGTCTATAACATAAAAATTGAAAGGCTGGTAGTTTTCTAGTTTTCCAGCTGATTTAAATAATATATTTGGCTGATTAAAACAATTATGAAAGTGTAGACAAATTTAAAGTTTTTACAGTTATTATTTTTATTATAGTTCTTAACCTAAGCATAAAAATCAATCTTCAGACGATAGTGAAGAGGTGTCAGAATCGACTTGCATTTGTTCAACCTCTCTCCGATTGACGCTGAGAAATACCCTGACGGATTCGCCGAACAGATCGGGATACTTGGAGGCTGTGAGGGCGGCTACTCGGTTCGTCGCGTGGTCCATGTCCGGGTGGGCGAGAAGCCGCGGAAGGAAGTTCTCGAAGAGGGTCGCCAGGGTCAGGGTCGGGCTCCAGACCTTGCTTACCACTTCGAGACACACGGCGCCTGAGACTTGGTGGACATTGGGGTGGATGATCTGGTCGATGAAGCGCATCTGGGGCGCGGTAAAGGGGTAGTTGTCCGGAATCTCCACCGACACCCTCCAACAACCCTCTTTGTAAATGCTGCTCGGCGGTCCCTCTAACACAACAGCAATTTTGTCGTACTTCAGCGAATCCACTTCGTGCTTTCGTACTATCAGGTCGATTACATCTATCAGGAACCGACGATTGATACACGCCATTAATTTCTTCAGGATCTCTTATAAAACAGTTCTTTCTTTTTTTAACTCAAAATCAACAATGTCAATAGCACAAAAATAAATATTTACATTTTAATCATCTGTTTATTAATATTCGTATGTTAGTTTTCTAAGTATAACAACATGGAGTAAACTTAAATAGTAGCTCAAGTCTCCTCCTACCAGTGGGAGCATTTCGATCTCTTGTAGAAATCAGCAATTATTGGCAAACCATCATCACTGCTTAATGCCTCCATATCTGCTCTAATTTAAAACTTATAGACCTAAACAAAAATTAATTTAGCTACTTTTTCAGTATTAAATGTTAAGAGTTAGTTGAGCCTTCCACAGAACACTAAAATCTTTGTTAATATTCGTTCTGATCACCTAATTACTTGGATTGCGAACATTAGTGAAAGAAAACCTCAATTTGGTTCCATATGAACTAGTTTATGGGCAAACATTGTGTCTATCAGGAGATTTCTTTACAGAAATAGCCATAACTCCTTAGACTCTTCATCCACCATTTCTTTTCTGCCCAATCCAAAGAATTGTTTTGTGGATAAAGAATTACAGCCACACATGCTTTCCTACGAGTAGATTCTGTTCAACTACCTCACATATCCCGATTTTAAGCAGGTCCTAGAAGTATGAGGAAGAACTGTTACTGTTTCTGTGGATCGTATTAAGCGGCACTTATCCTCTCCTTACAGCAAAAGCAAATCTGTTTTTCCAGCTGTAAAAACAACAGTTCCAGCATCTTCAACAACCATCCGATTACAACACCCTAGAGTATGCATATCGACTAAATCCCTTTCTTCAAAAGGGGGAGATTATTGTAGTTCCACTTTGCAATTCTGCCTGTCCACCTATCACCTCTGGATCAGTACCCTGATGCTTCTACCCGCTTAAGATGTAGAAATGCCCGGGTCGAGAGGTCATGGGTTCAAGTCCCTCCCATGACACTGATTGTCTACTCAACCAAATTTTTCATAATACGCAATGACATCCCTTATTGCATAGTGTTAACAAAATGTTATCAAAATTATCATGAGTATAATTAACTGGAAAAATGGCAAAAAGGAGTGAAAATTCAAAAGGCGTGGTTGAGAAGGGGAAGTTGATGTCAGAGTGGATCGAGATCACGATAGCTTAAGTGGTAGAGCAGCGGCGTATCAAGCCGAAGATCGTGGGTTCGAATCCCGCTCGTGCCATTGACTTTTTTATCTCAACTAAAAACCTTAATTAATCGTAGTATAATTAACATTACTTTTGAATGGATGTTGCAACATCGGTACCTTGGGGTGTAAACAAGATTCTTAATACTGAACCAAACAGGACAAACGACTGTAACTACACTCAAGTGACTACCCTTTCTTAAGGATGGTCTTTTTTATTTTTCCTTTTACACACTTCCTGCAAGGAGCGCTTAGCTTCAGTGTTTCCACCGGACCCCTATAAATAAATCTGGCTTTGTACTTGTACTTTGTACTTATACTAGTTTAATCCTACAAGATAATAATTATTATACTGTAATTTACAGAACGAGAACATTTGTAGGAGTCTAGAAATGGGAGGTTAAATTTTATGCCACATGGTTGCGGGTAAGTGTACTGCGGAGGGTACATGAATAAATGAACTAACAGTCAAGAAATTGTAGGTCAATCTATTAGGGGTAATCATCTTTTAAAAACCTCCATGACCAACAGCATGCCTACCAAAATGGCAAATGAGAGACTACCCTGAGCAAATTGATAGAGAATACGATAAATCAAAGAATAAACAAATAGTACTCAGTTGCTTCATGGGCATAAAAGAAGTTTTTGACAATTGATTCCTCATATGTAGCTATTTAAATATCCGTTCAAAGAACTTCAAAAACCAGCTTGATATTAGCTAAGAAGTAATAATAAGCGATGAACCCCATCAGACTATACACATAGTACCTACCCAAAGATGCCCTCAAGCAGAACTATTGCTACTCCTATAGTTCTTAGTAGTAAATTTATTTATTAGCTTAATAGCTTAAGATCCCACAGATTAAATAATAGATGACCTGGTAGCAATTATAAAAGGAAAATTTGGCGACAGTGTCAAACTGAAAAATTTCTAATTAAATTTTGTTTGTTCTTTTTTTTTTGTATGTTTTGTAATATGTAATACAATTTGTTTATATTATTGTAGCATGGCCACAACATTTTCAGCCAATTGACCAATAGTGAGTACAAGCAAGTGCTTAGCTATGTCAAGCACTGTATTCTCGCAACCGACCTCGCTCGCTTCTTTCCTTACAAGAGTCGTCTGCAGCAGCTTGTTGAGAACAACACCTTCTCCTGGGGCAATCCAGAGCATAGGTGAGTCTGAAATCGGCAATGTTAGTTAAGAATGAATGTTAAATAAAAAGTAAAGAAGATGTGGTGGAAGCCCGCCTACAGACCTTACTACCACGATATGACCTGCTGACGCTAAACTAGCAGTAGTGAATATGGTAAAGAAAAGGTTGCAGCATGAGTGGACTGTGTCAATTCATGACCTCAAGAGAGTATACCAAAGAAGGATTACCTGATGATCCGCCATATACAGTTGGCACACGAACACATACTTTAGGGCCAAAGCTTGCAAGCCTTCAATCTTGGGTGTTGAAAAGCCAAACAAGGTTGCTAAAGCCGGGACATCCCAACCTCCAAAACCAACAGCCGTGATCTGACTTCCACCAAACTTGCGATTAAAAGTAAATGGAAGTGCCAGTGAACTGGATCAGCACGGAAGCTATCACATATCAACAGTTCAGTTAATAGATGACCTTCAAGAGACCAAATAGATGAAATAATCTCACCTAACTAAAAATAGGCCATGTAATTGGTTGCGAAGGTTACCCCGTGTTCCATATAATTGAATATGTCATTCCTTGGCTCCATATAGGGAGCTAATAGAAATGCTACCCGATCCGAGAATTGTGCTCAAGTAAGGCAGGGAATCTTTGGAAATTCTATTCTCATTTTTAGATGAAACTGTTATTATTCTGTGTTAAGTGTTTCATGAGAATGTATTTATAAGCGTGAATGCGTGTAGTGCAAGAGCACGAATGGCGGAATATTAAGTAACCCATTAACTATATTAACTGTGTCTCCTTCAACCTGATGATGAGTTTCAAATTTGAAATCCATATTTTCTTATTCATTTTCTCTTACAAAGTATAAAAACAAATATGATTAAATACATCAAAATTGATCATTTAAAATTATCATTTTACAGATCGTTAATACAGGCGATTGCTATGACAGCCAGTGACCTGTCAGCAAGTGCCAAGCCCTGGGAACTCCAGGTTAAAACAGCAGAAGTCATATTTCAAGAATTTTACGAACAGGTTAATTTCATCCTTCAGTGTTTATAAAATTGTATATATGAATGTTTGGTTATCATTTGACTTAATTTTTTTTTTTTTTAATTTTATAGGGTGATGCTGAGCGAGCTGCCGGAATCACACCAATTGCCATGATGGACAGAAACCAGCCAGAACAGCAAGCAGCCTCCCAGGTAACTTGTTTCAGAGTTGAGCTTATTTCAGGGCAGATGGTTTTCATGATGATTCTATCTGTTAAAATACACACCTCAAAAGAATTAAGGTTGATCACGTTTTTTAAAGTTTTATTTTTGATATGTTCCACAATTTTTTTTCTTTTATTTATGTGATTCTCTTGGGTGGAAAAAATCTTCCAAAGGGCTGAGGGAATGTGGGACTGAAGAAAACACGAAAAGTGCTAAAACTAAAAATTTCAAAACAAAAATGACCAAAACGTGATTTTTTGAAACTTCATGGCCTTCAGAATCCAGTGTTACTCGTGGCTTTTGATGACAGCTTGTAGATGACGAGGCATGCTCCAAATGTTTTCTTTTGGCAGTTGTTCTCACTCCTCCTTTAGCGATTCTTCAAGCTCCTCCAAAGTTATTTGTAGATTTGGACGACCTTGAATGGCCCTCCCTAGCTGGTCCCACATGTGCTGCATGGGAATGAGGTCAGGACCACATGCTGGCCAGTCCAAAATGTGAATATTGTGCTGATTTAGGTACTCTCTCACCACCCTAGCTGTTGTGGTCGAGCTCAATCCTGCTTTAAGATGAAATCGCACCAACAGCAACAGCTTAGGGCCGAACATGAATGTCTAAAATCTCTTCAATAAAGTGTTGAGCGGTCAAAGTGCCAGCATGAAGAATCACGAGTTGGGTTTGGCCATGGATTGTTATGTTTCCCTTTAAGATAAGGTAACACCCCCAAATGGTGTGATGGAAGAAAGGGATGAAATGCTAATTTCCTTTTCACCAAACTTTCACACGCCCATCATTACTAAGCAAAGTGAATTTAGGCTCATCTGAGAACAGTTCACGGCTCCAATGTCTCAGCTGCCACCTCCTATGCTCTTGAGCGAATTGACAATAGGAGTCTTATGTCGGTTTATGTAAGTATCCGACACCCTTGTTCCAGTACTCCTAACTCAGGTCATTTTGGAGTTCTCTAGCTGTGGAAAATCGATTTTATCAGTCCCACATTCACTCTCCACTTTGGAAGATGCCAGTGCAGCATAATCGTTGGATGGTGTGATTTACATTTTTATAAAGATGAGGCCTTTATGGGAGGATGATTTTATGGGTGAAGGCAGGGGAGGATTGGCCTCTAGAGTAAGTTTGGCTCTGGAGGTCATTTCCATGTTATTTCGACACTAATGATGTTTACAATTTACAATAAATGTTTTTCAGGTTGGCTTTCTCAATGGGATCTGTATCCCATGCTACTCACTTCTCTCACAGTTGATTCCAGACACTAAACCACTGTTGGACTCCTGCACAGCTAATCTAGAACGGTGGAAGGTCAAGAATGAGCTCGGCGAGTCGATAATCACCGAGATGAAAGACAGGGAGAACTAGCGACTGCTAGTCTGGAAGTAAATTTATCTGTGATATGTGTACCTATTTGAATAAGAAAATCTATTTTTCTCTTTGATCACCAATAGTTTAGACCCCTGCCTTAGTGTTTCCACGATAAATGTTTTATTTTTCGATGTGTACTTGTAACCAGTATTACCATATCAAGGTTGTTCTTGGTGTTTTAATCATTAAACCTCTGAGGTTGGATAAATGTTATTTAAACGATTGCCACTCCGGTATAAAGAAATATATTTATTTATGTGTTCAGCTTAGAATGGGCTGAGATTTTATTAAATTTTAAATAAAGTATGTTCAATGTTGAAACTGATTTATTTCATTTTTAAATCACCTCTGTGTTATTCATTATTTTCCAGGGCAAATAAAAGAAAAATACGTTTTTTAGATGGGTGTTCAGCAGTTTGTTTTTGTTTAATCTGTTAAAGTGCTCCTATATTTAGAAATTTAAAAAAATCCTGTTGAACTGGTACTGTGTCACTTTTTGTCTACATCTGCAGGTTTCAATAAATTAAACATGTTTTGCCTTTGTACCATCATCAGTGAGGAACAACAACAAAGCTGAAGGTTGATGGCAAAACGATCACAAATGACTACGGGTTGGCTCACCATCAGACCCCATGAAAAATATAACAATTGAATTATTATTTTATCTTTTGTGAATGCATGGTCCACTGTTGTAACCATAACATGTAGGTTATGATCTCAACTGATAAATAATAATAATAATAATAAAACAGGCTGTTGTCTACTTGAATATCTTTGTATTTTTTACTTGACACATATCCTCCCCTAAGAAAATTTGTATCAACGCAAAATCCTGAATTATGGTTTCCTCCAGAAACTGAGTTTGCTCTGAGCATTTACTTAAGAATAGAAAACATGAAGATTATTCATTTTATAAACAAACTTCTTTTCTCATCTTTTCTACATTTTAATCCAGATGTGTTCTCTTTAAACATGGAAAGATATCAACTTGAGCTAAAAGTTCACAATATTACTGTGAGAGTGAGTCGTCGAGGTCACCGGCTGGATGTCAGAGGCGGAACCATTTCCATAGAGCCCGCCAGATCCTAAATGAAGTACAAGATGTTCTGGCAAGGGCTTTATCAAAACAAAGGAACGAGTTTGGGGGAAGTTGGCCTCACATCGTATGACCCTTTGGGACAACCTGCAGCAACTGCCCGCCACCAGCAACTCAGGAGAATATGGTGCAGCAAGCACCTAGAAGAGAACACCAATTGGAATGCTGTGCTTTACTGATGAGTCCTGTTTCACCGCAGACGCCATATGTCTACTGAGAACAGGGGATGTGTACAATGCCCCAGTTCTTGCTGCCTTCAGTGCAGTTCGGAGGAGGCGGTGTAATGGTCTGGGATGGAATTTACACGGAGGACGAACTGGACTCGACGGCAACCTCACTGTAGTTCATTATGACCAAGAAATTATTGAGGAATACATCCCTAAAACCAGGGATCTCATTAGCAGGGATTTTCGATTTCTGGTTGACAATGCCAGACTTCATAAACGTACAGTTGTCTATCAATGTTAAGAAAACCTGGCAATTTCCCATCGACTGCTTCCCCCATAGTCTCCAGATCTCAATCCCATTGAGCACATGGGAGATGTGTTGCAGAGAAGGCTTTTCCATCGCCATCCGTGCCAGTTGACCTGCAACAACTGAGTGGAGCGTTGCAACACCTATGGAGTGAAATTTTAGCTAACAGAGGCCATATACACAGTATTATTCTTTAAAACATTATTGTGTCCAATAAACAAAATTATAGAATTAAAACCTTTTATTTGGTTATTTTTCAAAATATTTTAATTACATTCTCCTTCAGTAAAAACATAATTTCTAATAAATTTTAATGCAACTTATAATAAAAACGGAAAGTAAATACTACAAAATTTATTTTTAGCAGTTTAATATAAAATATGTTCTTAAATTCTCACATCAACAACATTATCAGAAATATTGATGATTGTCCCCTAGTTCTGAATTCAATTGACAATCAATGGTTGTCCCAATACAAACTACGGAAAAGAGCTTGTTGCGCTTTTTGCCTTTTTAAATTCTTGCATAACTTTTTCCAATAAAATATTTACTTTTTCTTTATTTAAATAATCAATAGCTCCAAGCTCCAGACAATCACAAGTACTATTGAGCTCTTTGTACCACATTATTTCGAATTACCTCTTTGTCTAAAATGTTTGGATATCTAGAATCCGGTAATGGTCAAACTTTTCCAATGTACTATATTGCAAACGGAGAGCATAAACAAAAATCGGAGCTAAGCCTGTTTCTAAATATATAATATAATTTTGTGTATTATGCGGGAAGTGCAATATGCTTTTAATGAAAAATAATTACAACTTATCTATTGCATCAAAATGTGAAAAGCCTCAAACTTGAGCTGCATGGATCTTGAAACTGGTTAAAAAATTTCTAATTTAACTGAGAAAGGAATATGATTTTTTATTAAAATATTTTTAAATAAAGTATATAAGTATTAATTGTCAAATACATTCTGCGCAGTGCATGAGAAAATTGACATTAAACAAAATTTTAGGATAAAATAAATGGTATTAAGGAGTAAATAGGAAAGAGATTAAATCTTTGAAAGATGCCTGAGTGCACCTGCATGACATTTATATTTTAATGAGAGTTTAATAAATGAAGATTTGAATATAATTTCTTATAAACGGTGCTAAGATGTAAAAATATGGAAACTATACTCAAATAAATGTGTAAAAACATGAATGAAGAAAGGTTTTGAAAAAAATTAGAACGTGGTTTTTTTTATTGTGCACGTTGGCTATCCTGGCGAGTAGCCGGCTGCTGTCTCGAGGCGAGAGGTTCCACGGCGATTCCGAAGGTTCGACATCCGAAGGAACCTTCTTCCATATTGAGCTTTGTCCTCTTTCATGTCAATTTCACAACAAAAGTCGAAAGAAGAGCACTTGTTGATTTTCGTAGATCGGACGGGGTTTGCCGTTGGAAAATGAGCACCGAGGTAGACGATGGGCTCGAACGGCTCAAAATAACCGAGGAGGAGGACGTCGTCAACCCCTGGACGGTCACCAGCTCTTCGCAGGAAGGTGTCGACTACGACAAGTTGATCAGTGAGTGCACGCTTAAATACGTCTAAATGTTAAACTGTCCCTTTATTTCCAACGAAGTTCTAATATTTTTCGTGTCGGAACTCACTACAAATTGTCAGCACTATATTTGTGCAGTTTATACAGGCCGCAGTTGTCTTAGTTTATGTCTTGGCATAGGAAGGTTTCAGGAAGGTATTGACGGTTGCATTATATTGCAATCTTAACTTTGTACCAAATTAAATTAATTTCAGGATATTCACCCCGAAGTGTTGTCACTCCCTGATGTGCTATGCTATAGGGGGACTGTACATATAGGGTTCACCTACCTTTATGCGGTTGTCGCTGGTATCCCTTAACCCAGATGCCCAGGAGATGGTCGCTTCCCAACCAATGGCGTCTTTCAACAGCAAGGTCATTTCAGTCGCCAACGCATGCAAACTAACAGTCACACAAATAAGTACTTTCATACACTGACAGGCAAAAAATTCTACCCAATTGATTTTTTTTTCATTTTCTCAATAAAATAAAATTTTGCCCTTAATTTGTCTGTTTATACCAATAAATATTTGTTTATGCTATGTTTTAAATTGGGAATATCAATTAGAGGTACTCACATTTAATCCTTAACCCAAGACAAGAATAAAGGATCTTTCAATGTTTACTTTTTACGGAATTTTTTCAAGCGATTTCTAAACGCACTGTTTGAAAAAGATTAAATCAGTATGTACTGATGGCTTTTCGCCCTGTAAGAGGACCAGAACACAGAGTTGCATGTTTTGCTTTTGCTCAAGTACACAGTCATTGGTCTTTGGACGATTGGTCTGCTGTACTTTTTACAGATGAGTGTAGATTTGCTCTATGATCTCCAGATATCGTGAAATAGTGTGGAGAAGCTGAAATGAAAGGTACAAAGCCTGTAATTTTTTCCAGAACCAACCTTTCAATGTAGCTCAGTGATGGTTTGGGCGGGAATTTTAATAGAGATAAGTAGAGTTGGTTGTTGTTCGTGAAGGGTCTTTGGCGGCCACTTGCTATGTGGATGAAATTTTGAAACATCATATGCTTTAAGGATACGCTTTAACTTATGATGCTTTTGACCATATTTTATTTAACACCATTTATTTTACTTTTAACCATGATTTTCTTCTTTTCTCGGGTCCCTGTTAACTTTAATCTTCCTTTCTTTGCAATGTGATATAAACAGTCCATTATGGAATTGACCCTTTTTATTAACATACCTTGGAATGTGCACTTCTGAGGGGTGATGAACTTGTTGATTGGTCATCTCCTCTTGCTAGGTTTGTGGGAATTTTTCTTTTAGTAGGGCATGACCATGTTACAAAAGCAAAGTAGTTTGGTTTTTCAGACAGTGAAAAAAATGGATGTGAAATATGTCACTCATTAATTTTCCAGAAAGATTTGGCAGTTCGAAAATTGACCGGGAGCTTCTGGACCGCTGGGAAAGCGTTACGGGGAAGCCTCCCCATCATCTGCTTCGAAGGGGAATCTTTTTCTCACACCGAGATGTCCACACTATTCTCAGCCTTGCTGAACAAGGCCGTCCGTTCTACCTTTACACCGGACGTGGGCCATCATCGGATTCTATGCATATTGGTCATATGATTCCGTTTATGTTTACCAAGTATGTCTATCGACAAGACTTGGCCAATGAGATAATCAATTGTGTTAATTTAATTTTAGATGGATCCAGGATCTATTTGACGTCCCTCTTGTTATCCAGTTGACTGATGATGAAAAGTTCCTTTGGAAAGACCTGTCTGTGGAAGAAGGCCTCAGGCTATCTCGTGAAAACGCCAAAGACATCATAGCATGTGGCTTTGACATGGATAAAACATTCATTTTTTCAAACTTCACTTACATGGGGTTAGTATTAACCTTATTATCAGCCTTGTTTAGAATATAAAATTTTGATAGTTTCAATTTATGTCCTTTCTTTATAGTCATCTATGATTTCTTTAAATGATCAAGAAAATAAAATGCATATTTAACTATTTAATTGTACAACTTGAAACTTAAAAGCTAATGAAGGGGATTAAGTAGTTCATTTTTAAATATTACATTTTGGTAATAAAATAAATTTAGGTAATAAGAATAAGTAGCTGATTTGTATTATTTATGTGGTATTTAAAAATTTACAGGCAGTCCCCTGAATTTTATCAGAATGTAGTGCGAATAGAAAGGTGTGTCACTTTTAACCAAGTCAAGGGAATTTTTGGTTTCGGTGACAGCGATGTGATAGGAAAAATCAGCTTTCCAGCCATACAAGCCGCCCCCGCACTTTCTACTTCTTTCCCGCACATATTCGGCCGGAAGAAGATCCCATGTTTAATCCCTTGTGCAATAGATCAGGTAGGTATTCTGATTTAATACGACGTATTCGGAAATTAACATTTGCCTTCTAGGACCCTTACTTTAGGATGACAAGAGATGTCGCTCCGAGGCTCGGCTTCGCCAAACCTGCTTTGCTCCATTCGACGTTCATCCCCGCCCTACAAGGGGCAAACACGAAAATGTCCGGGAGTGATTCAAACACAGCAATATATTTGACAGACACGCCAAAACAAATAAAAACCAAAGTGAGTTCTTTTGTTTTCTTAATTTCTTCTTAGTTAAAAAATTGACACTTGATTTTAGATAAATAAGTACGCCTTCTCTGGTGGACAAGCTAGCGTCGAGGAACACAGAAAGTTGGGTGGTGATTGCAGAGTTGATATCGCATATCAGTATTTAACTTTTTTCCTTGAAGATGATGAGAAGCTTGAAAAAATAAAAAAAGTAAGTCCACTTTTAAAAAGCAATTGTTTGACCATAGTCAAAATATCAAGATTACTTCTTTATTTTTTACTTTTGTTATTCATTTTAAACCCCACTCACTAGTGATTTCTCATGCCTCCCCACAGAAAGTAATTTTCTCCCCTCTTTCCAAATTTTTTGTTAATTATTTTAAGAATTTAATTGATTTAATTTCAAGTTTTATTGTATTTTAATTTATCACTTTTAATTTAAAGAGGAACTAACATAACACAATATTTCTCCTTGACTACCAGATCCTTTAAACATGTATTTCTTTCCATTTCATATTGAAATTATTCAGTTAGGATATGATAGACTGTTAATAGTTCTTGACAGCTTTGGCAAATCAGAGTAGGTTCCTTTACCACAAGGATCCCACAGCTGACGATTATGCATATTACCCTTCAGCTAATGTGGCGACACATCATAAAAACAATTATTGTAGATTCAAATTTTTATATTTTAGGATTATACAAGTGGAGAACTACTGACAGGCGAACTGAAGAAGCTACTCATCGACCACTTACAACCCATCATCGCACAACACCAAGAAAGGAGGGCCAAAGTCACAGACCAGGTCGTGGCGCAGTACATGACACCGCGTCCCCTCAACTGCTCAAAACTACCCAAGTGAGCCAGTTCCTTTTCAATGCGTCGATTTCAACAAAATATTCACCTAGTTTAGAGCTTGGTCTTCCACCGATTGACTTGGGCCTACTACTTACTTTTCTCCTTGGATAAAAAGCAAAAAAGTGTGGAGTGTGTTCTATGTGTATCCATGATCCATGTGCATTTATAACATTTCTATGGTTATCTTCCTTTAGGGTTGAGTTATACATGTATATTTGAGCTATGAATGTTGAATGTTTTATAATTTATTAATTTTTTTATTTTATTGCAATTGGGTGATTTTTTAAAATAAAAAACAATTTTTATTTACACGTTTTTAAATTAGTTACACCAAATTAAAAAGGATTTTTAAGTATTACCAATTTATTTGAGTAATAAAAATACAATTTTTTTTATACATGTATAAGGCAAAATTATATTTTTTTTTTCTGAACAGAAATGATTTTATGATTTCCTGGCATTTTAAGTCCACGTCTAAACCAGTAGTTGCTATGCTTAGCTAAACTGCAGTTTGATCTACTAAGATAGGGAAATTGGACCCAGGCCAATACCCATCATCAACAAAATTCAACATGTTAAAAAATATACGGCATCAACAAGGGGGGGCAGGATTATCGTACCATTTTATCTTAACTAGCCGAAGTTTGTTCAACCTTCATAGTGAAAATATAAAAATGTTCAATAAAACTTAGGCTTGTCTGTGTGGTGGAGAAATCATTTTTCTTTTTAAAGAGAAAATCACAATTTTATTTGCCATAGAAACATGTGGAAAAAACAAATAATGAAAAATTAGTAGAGTACAATTGCAGTAGAGCAAATTTGGTAACTGAATAAGACGTTTCTTTAAAATTTTATTTGCAAAGGGCAACATACATATGTGCATACATATAGATACATTTATACAAATAAATAAATTACTTGTGCAATACAATGCATACCTTGTGTGTTCTTTACAACATACAAGAAGTCTTTATACATTGAGTATTTCATATTAAACATTTATAAAATCTACAGTCCTTAATCTAGCAGTAGTGTTAATGTAACACTTTTTTTTTATAGCTGTACCAGTTTGCTCAGAAAAATTTAATTTCTTGCAGAGCACTAGGCTTGCACTTTTTCCGCATCATACTAATGGCCTTGAGTTTTAAACAGTCCACACGGTAAAATATAACATCAAGACCCTAGTGTGTTGTTCCTATGGACAAGAAAAAAAATCTAAAAAAAATTTCAATTTTTTTAAATTTTAACCACAGTTAGCAATCCTGTGATAATTATATTTCTCAGTTGCTTTTCTTTTCTCTTTTTAATATAAATTTGTAGGTGTGTCAGATGTTTATAGAGCTGTTTTAAGAGGTACTTGGGCCAACTGAAGGTTGCACGCAATTAGAGGCTCCGTGTCGATGATGACTTTACCGTTGCTGCCACCCGGCCATTCACCACTGGACCCGTTATCCTCACTCGGGCTGCCCCCGCTTTTAAACTCACTTGAGACTGAATCTGAAACAAGTAGAGGCTGTGAGACGATTGTTTAACAGACCTTTTATACAATTTGTGTCGCACAACTTTGGTTTTGGATATTATATTTTGTACATCTTTACATATTTCAAAGATTAATCAGTTTATTTTTTTCCATCTTATGCCTGTTGGCCCATGTACATTTATTTATTTTCTTTATTAGGTAATGACAAATTTGGAAAGGGCTGATGCAGAACCTTTTTCAGTTTTATGTTAATTAAGGCTTTTTTGTTTCATAATTTACTAGATTGCAAATTCACATGTTGTACTATCAAATTGTACAGTTGTATATATCAATATAATAATTAATAAAGTAGTTTTAGGTTTTGTTGTTTTTATTGTATTTTTTACTCTGTATAGTCCATCAATGTTTTTGTATGTCGTCATGTATTGTTTTTGTATATATACAGGGTGATTTACAAATTATGTCACACTTTCTGAGTTGTTTTTACGCCCAAAATGCAACAAAACATTTTCTCTTGACTCCTCCTGTCTGGTTCTAATTAATAAGGGTGATATTTCTGGCTTTTTTTAAATTAGATTAATTCGCTTTACGAACCCCTCAGTTCGGTAGAACCCTGCGTTTTAAACTTCTTAAAATGTAATAATTAGTGCTGAAACATCCCATATTTCTTGGTTGGAGGAACTTACGATGATTTTATAAAAAATAAAATTAAAAAAACTTCACTCAAAGTGTTTACTTTTACTCTGGCAGTTTGTTTAATAGCCTGTGCAAAAAAATGTTTCATAATTACAGATTAACAGGACAGCGTTTGGTGCTGTGCCTCATGAAAAATTATGGAAAAAATATATAGACAATATTAACGGAAGGAGTCTTGCAGGGGTAAATTTGAAGTTCATTTCTATTATTCTGTTTTATAGCAGACATTGTATAACATCATGAGAAGGTTATTTTTTATTTATTTTTTTAAGAAAAAAACATTTCAGGAAGAATTTTAAAAGATTTGTTAATTAGACAAATGAGAGTTAATGGTATTCATTTTTATTGTAAATCTAACTTTGTGTTACATTTTGGTAAATTCAAACGGGGTTCAATAATTGTTTGGTTAATTAGAAACATTGTGAGAATACTATGTTTTGTATAGCTAATTAGTTGTGTAAGTAAGTAATAATTAATTGTGTATCGTTTTGCCTCTGTTGAATGATTAAAATGAGGATACGTAAAAGTTGAAGCAATACATTTCATGTCTTCCTTTGATGCTCCAGAATCCCCTCCAAAGGAAAGCTCAATAAATGCAAAAGATGAAGCCAGAGGGTAGTAGTTGCCACACGGAAGAAAGCGCCCTCTGGGAAGTTGGCAAAAAGTATGGTATCAAAAGAGTAGTCTCTAGTCAATGGTTGAGTACGGAGTAGTTGAGTGGTTTTGAGTTAATAGTGGCCAGTGATGTCAGAATTTGAATTTTGATGAACTGAATATTAATGGTAGGTTAATTGCTATTATTAAGGATATGACAATGGTTAGCACTTTTAATCACATAACATCTGGAAGGGAGTCATGCAGGGGGAGATTTTAAGCCCATTTCTGTTTTCCTGTTTTATACTGCTATAATGTACAAATATTGCGTTATCCCAGATGAACAGGGAAGTTTTAGAAGCGAGGATGCGTAAATAATAATGCGTTCATATTAAATTCTTTAGTTAGTACATTCTCAAAAAAAGAAAATGATCTTATTATCTTTGCTATTTTTGATTACTTCCGTAAAGTGTTCAAAAAGTGTGCTTCATGAAAAAAATTATACAGATTGAATATTAACGGGAATTAACTGAAAATTAAGGAATCTCGGAAGTCATGCAGGGGTGAATTTTAAGCCCGTTTCTTTTTTTCATGTTTTATCGCGGATATTATTAAGTAGGTATTTTACTTATTATGGTGCTTGCCAGATTTGAAAACAAAAAAGATATACTCTTATATGCGGATTAATTGGTTCTTTTGACCTAGTCCTGGCACGATACTCGGAATAAGTTAAGTCCTGTCCTATTAAGCCCTGAATAAGTAATTCAAAGTTCGTCGCGATATTGTGAGGAGTGACCTCACTGTCAGTATCGGTAAAAACGAAAATATTACTTATTAGTTAAGATATTGGTAGACAAAAAAAGGCTTAAAACCCTTCATTATAATCTATCTGTTTATCTATGCGACTCTTTAGCCGACTCGAGGAAGTTCAGTCTTGCCTATCACCACTTCATTTCAAAAGATTATTAAGCATGTGCCAATGTAAGAAGAATCCTAATTGCTTCTAACGGGAATTAACTGAAAATTAAGGAATCTCGGAAGTCATGCGGGGTGAATTTTAAGCCCGTTTCTGTTTTTCATGTTTTATCGCGGATATTATCAAGTAGGTATTTTACTTATTACGGTGCTTGCCAGAATTGAAAACAAGAAAGATATATTCTTATATGCGGATTATAATTGGGTCCATAAATTAAGGTTATTTGAAGTTTCAATAAAATCAGTCCTAATCTAAGCTTAAGTTTGGACATTGATCTATTTAGGCTGCTTAGAAGTAATCCTTACTAAGTTTTGAAAAAATCTACTGCTTTGACCATCTTTCATCGCTTTGCTTTCCATTTTCATCCGAGCAAAAAAAAATTTTCGTTACAGACTAGAGTTACTGATTGCCAAAATTGTTAAAATACCCACCCTCTTGGATTTAGATTGAACCAGGTAGCAAGGAAAACTTTTTTTTGTTGCATAGTCCCTTGAAATCTGCCACCTTATTCGCTAATTACCCTGTATATAACAACGTATTCCTTATTTTTGTACATATGAATATGTGCTTTAACGTCTTGAAGTCGAACTACTGGAAAAAAATAGAAAGGTCATCTTTTTTCTACAACTTACACAATCCTGGAAAGGATTATTCGTCTTTTTTTTATTTTAAGGGGGGTCGTTATCTAAAAGTAGAGGTCACATCAATCCTCATGGTACCGATGCTTTTGAAAAAAAGTTGTATTTACTTTGGGACCTTTACAGAGATGATGCTGGTCAATGCTTTAACGATAGCGGCCACCGTCATCCTTTACATTTATAAAAATAGTTAAGTCATCTCCGATCATCTTGGACTTTTAAATACGTTTGGTCTTGAGTAACCTAACCACAAAGATGATCAGAAATAAGATTACAGATTCGTTATCTAAATTTAAAAAAAAAAGACTAAAAGTTGTGAAAAAGTTTTAAATAATCATTAACTTTTCTTTTACGATCACCTACCAGAAGTTGTGCAACATGGTAATTAATTATCAATTATTTCTAAACCAATTTATATGAAAATTCTAGAACTAAAGCGCTTTTTTATACAAGCTGGTAAAATTAACTATGACAATGACTATTTTACCACAAAAAAAGTAGAAAATATGACAAAATATTAAAACAATTTACTGATAAACTATCTTATCAAACTGCTACATTATAATATATAATTTATTTCTACATAGAAGAAAACGTTACATTTAAAAAAATGTGACAATTAGAAAAGAAAGAGAGAGAAAGAGAGAACAGAAAGAAACGTTAAGAATACATAAGAATACAAAAGAAAGATAAAAAGATTATAAAAAGTATCAGAAGTACCTTTTCACCTGAAAATTCAAGAAATTGACATGCACTGCGAGGAAATTATCTAGATGATATTTCGATGTTTTCGATTCTGGGAATTACCCCAATGAAATCAAATAATAAAATCGTTTTACGACGATGGTGTTATCCGTTTATTTTGCTATCGTCCCAATCTCCTGGAGGAGACGCTCTCGAGAAACTGGAAGGAAATCCAATTACC